GTATTTATGGGTGCAAAACGTGGTCTTTCACTTTGAGGGAGGAACATGGACTGAGGGTCTCTGACAACAGAGTGTTGAGGAAGATATTTGGACCCAAAATTGGGGTGGGACAGATAATAGAGAAAAATGCATGACCAGCTCCACGGTCTTTGTTCCTCACCCGATGAAGAGGTGAGGTGGGCAGTAATTGGTTTGGAGGCCTGAAGGGAGGAGACCTCTGGGAAGACCTCGGCGTAGGTGGGAGGATAACACTAAGATGGACCTTAGGGAGAAGGGACTCGCTGGAGCGAACTGGATGCAACTGGCTTAGGATAGACCACGGTGGCGGGATTTTTGAACACGATGACGAACCTTCTGGTTCAGTAAAATAAAGTGGGCTATTCTTTGACGAGCCGAGTACCAGTCGACTTTTCATGGAATATCTTGCACATTGCAGTGTGCGAGTAGCGTGATGAGGCCTGATCTACGCACGCGGTAGAACAAATTAGAACTTTTGTGACTGTTCCCAACTGTAATTCTCGCGTACATTTGATAAATTTAAATTACATTTTGTGCTTGTAGTGTATATAAATGTGTAACTTAGGTAGGAAAGTCCTTAATCATGTAAACTCTTAAGCACTTTTAGTTCTACACAGAGAGAAAAACTCGAAAACTTTATGCTTATGAAAAGGCGTAGAATTCTTTTTCCAAAATTTATTTGCTGTCAGGTACTGCATCAAAGGTCACGCAATATCCATGCATATATTTGTCGTACATTTTTTAAATCGGTTCACCAGAGTAGAGGCATCTAAGACCTTATAGATTACATTGAAATGTTATACGTAATATCTACGTAGTATACTTATAAGTAGAATAAACCTGTTGCCAGTAATGACAAACACGCGGCATGACTTAATATTGCCTAAATCAGTCACATCTTCAGGGTGATAAAGCCAAGAAGAGTGAGATGGGTGGGACATGTGGAGTGCATGGATGGGGCGAGAGGTGTGCACCGGGTAATTTTGGAAAGCCTTAGGAGAAGAGGCCGCTGGGGAGACCTAGACGTAGATGGGAGGATAATATCAGGCGGGATCTGTGGGAGATAGGAGTTGAAGGAGACTGGATTTTGTTGGCCCAGGGCAGGGTTTGGTGGAGGGCTTTGGTTAATTCGGTGATGAACCTTCGTGTTCCGTAAGACATCTAGTTAGTTAGTTATATCAGTCATATTTACAGATTTGTCATTTTGTATTAAATCTCAACAGGCATTTCTGTAACAAAGAAACAAATTGAGTCGCTGGAGCCGAAGTCCTGCTTGAGAATCTAACAGTAGCCTAAGTAATCAAATGTCTCGCTTTTATGAAACATGAAGTTTCATGTTCGTGTTTACAATACCCCTCCTCTAAGTCACATCCACAAGGAGATGAAGTCAATCCACACCTTCATTCCCCACCTCTGTATGATCCATTTTAATATTATCCCAGAAACGCATAGGGCTCTCAAGTGACCTTTCCGTTTCAGGTCTTCCGATTAAAAAGTTGCACTTCTTGCCTCTGCCATGTGTACTACATGCCCAGCCCAATCTGACAGCCTACAATTTATTAATTAGTGAAGAGATCTATAAAGCTCCATATTACGCAATTTTCACAATTCCCTTGTCAGTAAATCTCTCTCTGGACCAGATATTATTCTCAATACCGTGTTCCCTCTCAGTCACTCCCAGAAAAACCTGTAACAGCGATGGACTGTTTTTCAGGAGATGGAGTCAAACCAAAGTAAAGATGGCGGCAGGTGCACGTGCACCAAAGCATTGGTCCGTCTGAACGAGCTGAGAGAGAGGAACTTCTTGTGTGACGCGGTGTTGAGGTTGGAGGACGGCGGCGTCTTTCGAGTCCACAGCGTGATTCTGTCGATGCATAGCGAATATTTCAGGTTTGTTTATTTACTGACGTAGTTGATTAACACGTGAAATAAGGACTTAATAGACGTGAATTCGTATGTGAAATGTTGCAGAAACCTGTATTTTTATACGGCTGAATGTATTTTTTTGTTTGTTCATTGTCATGAATCTCAAGGCGGTAAGGATGAAGACTAATGTCTTCTGGACATTGCGCCGTAGAAAATGAGTGGCATTTCAGGCGTACTTACTGCCTTCTTCCTTGATGATGGAGGCAGTAAGCACCTCTGAAAGGTCCGATAATTTCTACGAGACAACACGACGCAACTTCCTAGTAGACGTACGTGGTTTATTGTACTAATTTTTAAGTGCAGTTGTACCAAGGTGACAGTCAATCGTTCTGGAGGGAGAATTGGAATCCATTTCCAAAATCGTCTTGGTTTTAATACATAAAGACGACCGACAAAGTCCAGAAGCAAGTTGGTAATGCACCTTTGTCAAGCCATTGTCCGGAACATTGAAAGCTGCTGTGTGTTGCTCTGTCTGAAATATAAAAACTGTAACAAAGAACTTCGAGAGAAATGTTTCATTGGTAGGAGAGAATCGTTCGAGAATTTGTGCATTCGTTAATCTGCTTGTGCTTTAAATAAAGATGCGGTGCGTTCTTGAAATGAGAAATGAATTATAACCGAGAATAATTGTTTGTATTTTCCAACAGACGTTTCTCACGTCATGTTACAAGCTGTGACCCTCTTTCAGTTTTCCTACAATCAAATCTTTCTGTTTGCCTTGCACTGCAAAGCCCTTAATTTGTAATAGGAAATTGTTTGCTGGTTGGTGATCACTTTTTAAAGGCCGCGTAGAAACATCGGTTTTCCTTTTAAGTTGTTTATTGTCGGGAAAATGTTTTGACAGAACAAATAGATTTCATATTACGAACTGATCAATCAGTGGAATGTAAGTTGAAATATTTGTGTTCATTTGCTGATTGAATTTAAAATTTCTGTAAAAGTTGTTATATCCTCTGATATCTCTTGGAGGATTCAAGGGTCTGTAATAACCGAGCTGAGCATTCTATAGTACAAATGTTCGCTGCTTGCTATCCGATTTGTAAGTTATATTCTGTTAAGCCTACGCACGCTCTTCACCCTCTCGCAGTTAATCTGGTCCCATTAGTACACATTCGTGGAGTTTTTGAAGTGTTCAGATAACAAAAGTTCATCCACCACACTGGCGAAAGGATACTTTTATTTGACTACGTGAGTCATAAAAACTTGAAGTTTATGAGCATGACTTGTAATTTTCTCTCGCCGTTTCTCCAAATCGACGACTGCTTCGTGACGTTTCAGGACCCTCTTCACGACAACACTGCACCCCAGTGAGGAGACTGATGTTCTCCTCCACGGAGTCAGCTCAGACATGATGACCCAGATACTGAATTTTGTTTATTTTCGTGAGGTTGACATCCACTCCGACAACGCGCGTCAGCTGCTCCTGACGGCTGACTACTTGTATATACCAGGCTTTACTGACCTCTGCTGCGACTTCCTCATGGACGCGATGGGCGCCGACAACTGTATCGGCATCATGAATTTCGCAAGGTAATTGATGTTCATTTGTCATTTGTTGTGACGCCAGCCTTCGCCCCTGGAGCGAATCAGCTTTATTCAACAGAGCAGCCGAGTGCCGGGTCGGAGATTAAAGCCTCTGACTGAGGACTGGGCAAATTAGAAAGCGTTGTTTGTCAGGGATTTTGGCAGGTCGTTATTAATGTGCCTGTAATTTAAATGTT